GAACCCGGTCAGAGATATACCCAAAGCTGTACTTTAGTGGATAATAATGAACACTAGAGCCTTCCCCACCGGGTATTAGCCATTAGTACAAATTGTTATGAGCTTCGTTCTTGGTTATAAAGAGCTGCCATTTTCGATATTAAATTTTGCTGTTTTGCCGCTTTGTTACCGGGTACCAGTTCAAAATTATAACCTACTTTATTTTCTGTTGTAGCACCAAATATTTAATACTAATTTCGTAAAAGGAGGCTCATTTACGACTAAATGAAACTTAACTTTATTTATGACTAAATTTAAAACTAATTCCAACCTTCACTGTACCTTCAAGTTGGCTCGAATACATTTCGAATGTTCACTCGTTCCCAATAACCGCATACACTCTTTCAAGTTCCTGTTTCATTCACGTTTGGCTAATTCAGCTGCGCGAGGGTGCATCGACAAAGGACCCTAATGAGCCTCGCTGTGCGCGTGCGAACTAGTCTGCCGAGTTGTTGCTTGAAGTTTTACAATTCTATGACAATTTCACTTTTAACAGTATAAACGCCAAATATAAATAACAAAACCGAAGAATCAAACAAATATTGTAAAGTATTTTATTGAAATGTGTCTCGCATAGACTACAGAAGATAATCTCGTATCTCAAATTTGAAAAGTTAGGACAAAGTTCTAGAAGTCGAAACATTCCTTATTTTTCTTATTACTAGATTGTTTTTTTAATTAAAGCCGGTTAAGTAATAATAAATATAATAAAACAAGCAGGTGCGTTACTGACATCTTATTTTTTCTGATATTCTTAATTGAATGCAGATTTAACACAAAATCTATTCATAAATTGATTTAATTTTGAGCGGTAACTTAAGGGACCTCTGAGTGCTGAAAGACCGTAATTTGCGGGAACTTGGGGGTTGTAGCAAAATTTAACCCTAACCGGGGCTTACGGGCCACTAACCTTTTTTTGAAGGGAATGTATAAAAATCCTTAAACGTGGACTGAGGCATTATACAAATCCACAATTTAACTAAGTTACAAAATTGTTTCATTTACTTTAACATCGACGATCCTACGAAATTAAAAAGGCACGACAAAACAAAACTAAATAAATAAAAAAAGTAAAAATCTTAAAAATCTCTGTGAAAATTTTAAAACGAACGTGACCTAGCTTTTAAATGAATATGTTGCCCTAAATGTCTTTAATCTCATCCACACCGCGTGAAAATAATTTACGACTTCAATATTATTGCGGCCGCCGAGTTTGTAATTTTAAAAGTCAATAGCTGTAAATATTGGACGAAAATGTAATCAGGGATGGAATTTTTTCTATATTCGTTATTAACACAGTTAAAATGATTAAATATAAATGAAGTCCGTGACTCGGAAATGAAGCTTGTCAAATTGTTTTAGATTCAAATAATTCAAATTATAAAACTTGTATATAACTAAAATATAATAATAATATATAAAATAATAACCATAATATAGCCATGCAAATTGCAACATTTCGTTATATTATACTTGTCGGCCTCGTCGGTATAATGGCAGCAATGTTAGGTTTATTGATGGATCGTGGGTTCGATCACCACGGGCTCCAACAAGTTTGTTATTAATTTATATTAAATCTGAAACATATCGAAATTCCGTCCAGGTCACGATCCACGCTCCACACATGAGAATGCGTCATTGGTCTCGTTTCAGTTTCAGTGTGTGCATTTGTAAATATCCATGGCCAGGATAGATTGACAGCACATCCTAATATTTCATGGTGAAAACCCCTTCATCACTAAGGAAATTTCACTTTCCATCATATGAGCCCTATGGCTGATGTCCTCTATCATGAAAAAAAGAAAATTTGGCGCGATTTACTCCCCGTTTCAATCAAAATAATGATACATCCTCCCTAATTTCATCTCTTAAATGGCGTCCAAGTATATATCATACTCGTCCACGCTCAATAGAAATCAAAGAGTAGTTAGGGCGAAGGACAGAAATATTATTTGTAATGGCGGATAGAATTTGATGAAAAGCGGAGAATGTTCCACTCGCGGTACGATCGCAGAATAGTGAGTGGATTTGACGGCTACTAATGGCAAAGCTTGGTGTACACTAGAACTAATTTTATTCTTGATTAATTAAAACATTTGGCGCGCTAGAGCTTAACTAAACGCTAGTCTTGAGACGAAGAATCTTTCGTACCTCTCGCCTTTTGCCTCTCGTTCTATAAAACAAACTACCCAAAAACAATGCAAATTCATACTAAAAAAAATTGTTTCATGCCTACGTAATAATGATTTTTACCTTAACTTGACTCGCTTATCTCTCCCAAAAATCTAAAATGTGTCTACCGATCCAAAATTGGCCACCGTAGTGGATTACTATACGATTATCGTATTTCTAGGTGTGTCACTTCGTCCGCGTAGAATAATTGTTTTCTCTCAATCTTAAAAGATATACTGTCGCCGAAAATTATTTCGATAAAACATTTTTTTTTTTAAATGTTTTTTTTTTACATTTTTCGCTGTTTGTTTGTATATAAGTTGATATAGCCTTCCGCGATAAATGCTCTAACCGAAACAGAAAGAAAAACAATGATATGCTAAACGATGGCCGTGAACAAATTTTTTAAAAATAATTTTTCAAATCGACCCAGTAGTTCTTCAGATTAGCGCGTCTAAACAAACAATCAAGCAAACTCTTCAGCTTTATATATTAGTAATAGATTTAAAGACTATATTTGTGGCCCTAAATTTTTCTTGTCACGTAGAGAAATAAATATGAAAACAAAATCGACGTCGTCGTGAGCGTCGACCTTTATCGGAGGGAGCAATCAAATCGCTCATCCGTTCTAAATGAGTTCTAACGCAAGACGTGATTCTTTTGCGAACAGATGGACACTATTAGCGGGAAATAAGTAGCCTTTGCAATTATATCGCGTAATGCGCCGAGTTCTCGTATGAAATTTATTTTCATTCGCGCTTCACTGTTTCATTTAATCTCACATTCAGTCAGGATTTCGTTCATTTTTCTTATTAACAATAATTTGCGTTACATTGAAAAGCTCTCTGCTGACGGCATTTTTTAAACTCCCCATATCATGAATGATTAAGAACGTATAGCAATAAATATTAATTTGAAAATGCTTCAACACAACTCGGTATTCATTTAGCATGTAATATTAAAACTTTAAATATATCTAAAGCTACAATTTCAATGAAAGATGAACGAAATCAAATATTATGTATATACTTGTTATGTAATTGTATAATTATCCTTTAAAAAAATTTAGCGTTTGTCTACATACGAAAATCGTTAAATTTGAGATCTTTCTTCGATCATCTAACAAAGAATGAAGTATAAACCCGTAAAGATTATGGATTAAAAATATATTTAAACCTTTTTTTAAATAAAACACTCTAGCGATTTAAAACGGGATATATTTTAGTTAAACTTATTTTTAACTTCGGCCCGACGTTTCAGATGTTTTATTTAAATGTGTAAGTTAAAAATAATTTTCCAATAAGTTTTACTAATATATATCGCGTTTTAAACCGTTACAGTGTTTTATTGAAATGTGTACTACTCGCGTAAACTACAGACAGTATATGTTATATACGAATTATTATTTTGCCGTTAAAGTTAGATTTTTAAGTAATACTAGAGCTAATTTAAGAGAATGATCCTTCGTTTGGGTAAATAGAAGAACTGACTGCGTCTATTAGGTGTATTAGTATCAGATATAGAGAACATGGAACTGAATGAGACAGTGACGAGGGTAACGCGAGATTTACACCCAGATTAAATGATTTCGTCTCAATTATACTGCTAATTCTATTTACTATAAACGACTTGATTTTCTTTTCCAAGTATTTTTTTATTTTATCGCTGCTATTACTAACTCTGAATTTCTATTCATTTTAATATGTGAATAAATTAATATAAATGTCATCTTAACTCAATAGTGTCTAGTAAATTAATAAGGGTATCTTTTATAAAAACTAAGTATTTAATTTAATTGCCACTCGTAAACTAAAGGCAAACTATATAAATATTTTCTCCTTTTTTCAGGTAAGAAGGATGCCGAAGCTAAGCCTAAACCGTAAAGGTAATTAATTAGTAAATTGGACACGGCTAAACGAACACATTGGATAAGTGTACATACACACTCACACAGTGTGAAAAAATATTATAGTGTGACTGACCTTTATAATACTGTAATGTTGTGATTCTACATTATTATTATACCAAATTAACATAAAAAAAGCGCCTGGCTCAAATATATAGCAAAATTGCTCATTAAATTTTAAGACTACAAAGTTTCAATGACGTGTTCAACAACACAGACGATAGAATATAAGCAAAACATTAAGAACTGTCGCGTAGCATCTAGGCCGCTGTGTAATATTTATCAAAGTTCCGATAACTTGTAACAGTATCTACACACACAGAGAGAAATTGTAAAAGGTAAAGATTATTTAACATAGCTGTCTTGTACGCGTATTGCCATAATGCAATTATTAAACTTTATTAATAGAACTAATTTCGTTGATGATAAAATTTCGCACCTATCTAATGTATTGGTGTCTCGTTAGCGTACGATATAAATTTTAAGTTAAATTATTAGCTTACTTTTTTCATAATTATTAGTAAGCGTTTTAAAAGTTGTATTCACTAGATAAGAGATGGCGCTTATATTTTTTTTATTGTTCGAGACGGAACTGATTATTCTATATTATTTTTAAATAAAGTTTTTTTTTTAATTATACTTGATATCTACATAATTAAAGGAAAAATATAGTTTTATTTAATTTTATAAGAAATTGTCGGTAGAAAATATTTACTGTAGACTTGTCGAAGGTAGGAAGATAACATTTATTATACACCGTAAGCGATTATTTCTGACGTTTAAGCGTGATAACCGAATCAGTGTTGAATAAAGTGTTAAAATAAATTCCCGATGAATTTAGATAAAGATAAAATAGTGTATCGTGCCGTAATGCGCAGACACCATGAAGACTAATAATGAGGTAAGTTATTGCTTTTCGTATTGTGAATACTCATTACAAATACCATTGAGACAACAACACAAATATTGTCAATAATGAGAAGTGTTGGCGTCTTTTATATTTTGGATTTAAAATATCATTATAAAATAACTTGTTTTTTTTTAATGCGTTTTTATTGATGCAGTTTTTAAGAACGAAATAAAATTTACGACTGGTACGAGTATTAGTAGTTTTGTAATGTCTGGCGCTTACAAAACTATACGTTACTGCTAAGTGAGGTATAATTTATAATTAGACATTGCTCAAGTTTTCGCTGAACCTACTCTTTCACAGTGTAAACCTTCGCCACTAAGCTATGAGGCAGCATTATGCATCATAGAAACAAACACCAATTTCCTAGATCCCGGCTGATAGGCAACGGCTGTAATCTGAAATGATTGCAAACTTGTGACGTTGCACTAATTACAAGTGGATTGTTTCGTCGGATTTTCGGCAAATTTATTACTGTTTGTAGTCACTCGCTCGCCGATTAAAGGCTTTGCTTTATCCATATTATTCACTTCTGCCACACAGCTGCTTTGTTTAATGTACTGTTATTTAACTGTACTTTATTAAATGTGATCGCGTGATTTATGCCCGCTGTGAGTCTCGTTACTGTGAACAAAAAATAAAAGCAAGACCTGAGATAAATCTTGCTAATTCCTCTTTCAATTAAGCAGAGATTTCTTTTAAGTCGAGTTAACGAAGATTCAGTCTTTTAGTGTATTCCAATACATTCATCGTTTTTGCAAATATATAACTACACTGTGGTTTAATGTTCTAACAATGCGACATTACATTATTTTTTTACTTAAATAATTCTTATATGCGAACACATACATTTTAAGTAAAATTGATTAGACGCAGCGATATTATAGTAACAATATGTATAAGTAGACCATTAAACGGTAATAATAATAATTCCAGGTTACTTGTATTGTTTGCTTTTTGCAATTCTGCTGTCGAGACTGTCGTTGGAAGCACGAACAAAACGCTCATGAGCTTTTATACGACTGTCCTATTTGCCGCGGTCACAGGTTTCTCTGCCATCCAGAAAATTTGAACCCAAAATTGATTGAACACCTAACCACCCACTTGCCACTTCAGTGCAGAAAGTGCAACACAAAATACATGAAAATGGAGGACCTGCAGAATTTGGATAAATGTGAAAGCATTTCTGAACTGGTCGAAGTCAAGAAAGAAATAAATGTCGATGAGAGATTTGACTCTCTTTACGAGAAGTTAAATAACGATGTTGATAACTTCGAGGCCATTATATCTGTAAATAAATCTAGCAAAACAGCTGTCATTACACCGATACTACGAGACAAGCATCTCGTTGATTACGATTCTAGTGATACAGAATGCAGTGCCAAAGCGAATAACAACGTACCACCGAAAACACCGAACATCAACAGGCAGAAAACTCCACATATAAAGAGGTTAAGGACTATGACTCCACACGTTAAGAAAGTCCTAAGTAGGCAAGATGGGACAGAAGAATGTGATAACTCAGCTGACGATGTATACGACAATTCTCATGTCGATCCAAAAACACCCACACCGCTAAGAAATGAGCTTGACGGTAAGGATTATAATCTATTATACATCCAACGATGGCATTGCTTTTTTTGGTACTGTTTTTAAAACTAAATATTTGGTTTGAATTTTGAAAAGGAAAGTTCTTTAAACAATCGTAAAGTTTTATAAATGCTTTATAGTCTACGTGTTTGATTTAAGAAGTAAAAGAACTTAAGAGTGTTTTAATCGAGGTTCAATCTTTACATATAATAATTATTACTGACATTCATATATAATTTTAATATAATTGAAAAGAAATATTCACATATAATATAAACTCTGACAATCAGCTCCAGAAACAGATCAAGAAATAACGACACCCACATCTCACCTACCTCACGTTCTGAAGTTAAACCAGATAGTAACGACCAGTACTCCAACACACTCAGCTACTGGAGGCTGGCTGCTCTTCCCTGATCCGGGAAATGATTCACCCCTATCCGAAATAGAGAATGCCGATAGTCCATCGCAGACCAAAGAGGTATGGAGAAATAAGTTAAATATATATTCACTATTAAATTGTATTTATGTTAGAGAAGTAAATTTTAAACGGATAATGAGAGCCCAAAAGATCAAAATTGATAATTAGCTGCGTTTACACAATTCAAAAACATGCGATTGCATATTATTCTATAACAATAAGCTGTATATATTCCCAAGTTGTTTAATATGAAGTTAAGCTTTTGGAATGTATGCCTACAAAGCTGGTAATTACATTTCTCATCAAAATCCGTTCATTATTATTTGCCTGATTTTTGGCACATTAAACAATCCAATCATATAAAGGTTCAGAATTTCACGGCGAAATAAAATAGAAATAATTAAATTTGTTATAAGAAAGTCAATTTTTAATAACAAAGTGGGTAAATATTGCAGCTTACAAAAATACATATCATCAAACTTACATACGGCAATATACAACTTTACGAATTCTTTAGATATTCTGTTTTTGAATCATTTATGATGTTCATCTACTAGGGTTACTTGAAATAGTTCAAACATGTCAATATTCTAATATTTTAAAGTAACCAGCGTCTGTCGTATCTATGTTTCAATTTATACATTTCGATACCAGATACGTACTTATGAGACCGGGGCCCTTATTTGTCTACATGAGAGGAAGGGCGAATATATTGTTATTATTTCTTACGAAGACTATGTAACTTATATGTAAAACATATACGTCTCTATCGATAATAAAGTTTAAGATTTAATAAACGCTTTGCAGAATTTTGACGTGGTAATAAAAGTGTTCTCTAACTGCTGGTTTAACATTTTTTCGTGAGCTCATTATTTAAGAACAGTAAACGTTGCTTATAAAACTGTTTTCGGTCACCGAATTTGCTAATTTCGTTATTACTCCATTTACACCTGCGAGACCCCAGAAAACCGCGACTTTCCTGTTGACCATACCATTTACGTCCCCTTATTCAACAGTGAACAACCGTGAAATTGTCTGATAGTGAACGAGGGACGTTATTTTGCACACGTCTCGCATATTAGCGTCGAGCGATCGAATCTCTAAGGTTTATGAGCCGCGTCTTAGAAACCAGACAATATATCCCTTTTATGTTTTCCAATTCTGTTTCGATTTATTCCAACACATGGAAATGAGAGGATGAGATTTATAAAACAGACTCATATTTAATGTATTTCTTTTCTACAAAATCTTTGTTTGAATGTTATTTTTAAGCAAATTACGATAAGACAATTTTAGTTATGTGCGGCGTCATTTCTTTTAATTGAAACAACTAACTGCGGTTCTGGTAAACGTTTCAGCCGTCGAGATCGGAGGAAATTCGCAAAATTAAGGGAATCATCGTGGACAGCCGACGTTTGGCAAGTCAAGATAGTACAGAGAAGCAGGTCACGTTCCAGGACTCTACTGATTCGTCGGCTAAAGTTAAAAGAGTCAAATTCGCCGACGATACTATATTCAAGGAGGAACCAAAAGTTAAACGAGGTATGAATCAATTCGGACGGAATATGTATGTGGGTTTTAGTGATTACTTAAATATTTTTATAAGTTTCAATTAGAAGATATCTTTATGATCTTTACGCACGACTTTTCCTTAGAATCTCAGGTGCCTCAAAAAATTATAACATTCAAAACAGTTCTAACAGAGTTCTAAGTTTATTAGAGAAAGAAATAAAATATTGTATAGAAGTGCTTTCCTCGATAAATATTTATAGGGAAAGCTTCTCGAAATATTGTCTCTAGACTACTAAACGACACGAAGTAAGCAATCAATTACATGTACGCTGATCCAGCATTGTTTCAGAGCAATAAACTTTATTCGTAGCTTTATGAACGATGACTATAAAAGTTTTACGCGCGAGACATCCCGACTTACCTGCGCTCCATACATTGTAATAATGGGAACAGGTGTAAAGGAGTTAGTGCCGATTACAATGTCTGCTTTACTTCTTAACGTTTAATTAAACAATTTGTAACGCTTTGTTTACGACTCGCTACAATGTACTCAATTTTCTTCTAGTCTAAAGAATGGCATACGCGTAAAGCGGAAAGCGTTTTGAAAATGTCCAAACAAAGGTGATAAAATGCACTAATGAAAACTGAATCCTCTCTGAGGACTCAAATCTACGTAAATTTGCCTACTGTAACTTATGGTACTAGACTGTATATTTTTACTACAAGAAAATAAATCAGACGCCTTATATCACCTGTTCAAATAAAAGAAGTATTTTTAGAGTAATGCAAATTCCATTTTTAACTTCAATTAACCGTAACTTTAAACGGAAAGAAACGATTTATAAAGAATTTAAAACAGCATTTCTTTATAGTTCTCTATAAAAAACAAAAAAAGATAATGTCCAGTAGAAATAATAAATTCTACTACACTACTCATACTTGTATCAGTTGTGTCACTTGTTGTCTTTAGTTATTTTTGAACTTAATGCTCCACTCATAATGTGTATAGCTTAAAATATTCAACGCAATAAACATTAGTAACTTATTTCAGTGTTTCGGAAACCGAAGCGCATTCTTACGCCAGGCCCACAGAGACGGAAGAAATTTAACAACAATCCACGATTTCAAGCGCTACTCAATAGATTCGAGAACAAAGTGGCCGCCATCGCACATACCCCTCTCAGCATCAACGCAGGGAAGAGCCAAGAGACCCCCGTAGGCGAGCACAACGCTCTGGCCAGAGCTATCAGTTTCAAAGAGAGTCCTGGCCTAGAAAACACGAAAGACAATGAATTATTTAAAACCTGTGTTGATCCAGAACCGAATAATGCGATAGCAATGTTTACGACAAACTTCGCCGCCTCTCTGCAGACCTGCCTCGCCTCTCTGCTGCGGTCGCAGGACGAAGAAACAGAAATACAATTCAAATTCTCCGTAACAAAGAAAAAGGTGAGCGTGCAAAGGATAGCGGATGACAAGGACGTCAATATGAATGTGATAGAGAGAGATGCAAACGCTGAAAAGGAAAATATCTGGTCGACGATTACGAAGGCTGTGAAAAAGGTGTTCTGGAGTGATCCAGGTAAACATGATTTACATGTTATTGCCAATTGACCGAGTTGTAATAAATAAACTCGTGTGTATCGGTAGAGCCTGTCGCTAAACAAAGCCGCACAAAGAACTGGAGTTGGCTCTTTTGCGTTTATCATTTACTTATCTTAGGCGAAAACTTAAAGTGGCCTATCGAGAAAGGAGTATAAATAAAAAGTGATCATGTACGCATGGGGTATGGGGCACACAGATGTTTGTGTTTCAGTCACGATCAGTGTCGCTCATCCATTTTTCACTGGCAACTTATTTATTAAACTCGATCGAATCTAGGCTTCTCGCGCTTACCGCATTGAACGATTGAATGAGAGACTTTATTTAAAATAAGAATAAAGTCTTTGTCAATACGAGGTTTTTTGGTATTAATTTTTAACAAGCAATGATAGCATTAAATGTTTTCATTCATCGAATTCGAGTCTGTAGCAAGATTTTACAAGGGAAGCGCATTCAAACAAACTGATCACGTTTATTATTGCGACGTAGATTTAAATCCTTTAATGTCTTATAATTCGGGTTTCAGTATAAATTACAATCATATTAAACATTCATTGCCTTCCGTTTGCTGTCAATTAATTCGTAGCTTTGCTACGGCGGAGCAGGTTTACTTTGACAGCGTAGCATTAGTCTAGCCAATCAGTCAATTGCAAGTAAATAAACGTTTAGAAAATTTTACTTTAATTATTTAAAATTAATGAGATTAAATAAACCTGCAAATATTTTTGTGCCTATTCTACAAGATATTAAGTTTAGTATAATTCAAATTTATTCATAATGCATACGTTTGAAAACTTTATTATTCTTTACATGTTATATTGCACATGAAGGCACTATATAACTTAAAAATCGGAAATAAATTGAAAAAAAAATTTTGACTCGGGCAGGACTTGAACCGGCATCGTCAGCGTACCGTGCTGTGCTGGAACGCTGACGATGCCGGTTCAATTCCTGCCCGAGTCAAAATTTATTTCAATTTTTAAATTATAACACGTACTTTAAATAAAACGTTCTTTACTTTACTGTTTTATTTACAAAGGATGTTTCTATAAAAAATGTTGCTCTCTAATTTACTTAATTTTTTATTTGCGCGTCTAATATTTGTCGAAGAATTTCTGATAAATTCTAGAGCAAGATTGCGGGAATATCGCAAGTGCTGACAATGTTTTGAAAATTTATCTAAGAAATTGTTTCCGTACGATGTTAGGAAAACAATTACAACAGCAGGCTTACCCATCGAGCTGATATTATGCAATATTGCCGCTTCACGTCCGTCGCTTTTATAATCTTTTGCAACATTTCATATTTTTGCTGCGGCGTTATTAATTTTCTGAAATAGATGCTATCGTATTGATGGATATTGAATTTTCATACCTTTTTATTTCCTAAAAAAAGGCCTTTTTTAGCTTTTTATTAAGACTACGTTTTATGTAAAGTACGTCGTACTGCCCCATATTTTTCATATTAGGACATTTTTGATTTTTGATTTTGCCATCAAAAGTTGACTAAAGCTTTCTAATATTACAATTAACTTACTTATCATTTTCAGGACGACTTACCCTTAATACTAAAAACAGTTACAGCCAACTATAAAATAGTAACAAATTTTAGTAAACTGTCAGATAACAGTATAACTTAGAGCGTCATTAAATTATACGTTAGCACAGACGTATTTTTACGTTGCACGTGCTATAAGCTTATTCAGCTTCTCAGAGCTTGTTTATGGCTTAAATTAAGGACTCCCTGAACATAAAACCTGATCGATGTTTCTTAAATAACGACGATAAAATATTAAATATATCTGTTGAGTAATAAATTACAGTAACGGTTAAATTAATTCATTCATAAAAGGGATGGTAATGAGTTGAACCCTTGATACAATGTTGAATCAAGATGGGATTTCGGTATCTCATAAAACGCAAATAATGTTATATACACACGCTTAAATAAATTGAAATGAGAACAGCTCAGCGTGCAATTGTTTTAATACTTTATACTTTAAGTCATGTATAATACTTTAAACAGCTCGAAAACCTAAGAAGCTTTACTTTTATAATATTACCGTTAATTAACCTGTTTATATGTTTTAGCCTCTCCGCACAGTCCGTATACTGAAGAGTCTTCATCTGCCTCCAAGCGTAAATTTATAGAAATAACCGATGATGAGAGTCCGTTAAACCACAAGCGACATAAGTTCGAGAGGATCCGCGGACGCCCCCCGCTTAGGTCCAACTTGGGAGTGGCCGGTCTCAAAAACTCCTATTCCGCAGAGAATTCATCACTTATGCAGCAGCTATCAAGCAACGAAGATAATTTGAATTTAAGTTTTTAAATAGATTCTAGTTGAAGGGTTTTATTGTAAGATGTAAATTTTCTCTCACCTTTTAAAAAGTTGGTTAAGGAAACGAGATAAAACTAAGGGACAAGAATTTTCAAGGTAATAACACTGTTGGTATCTTAAGATTATTAAGCATATATATAATACAAGGAAGTTCTGTTGTGTCTAAAAATTATGATAATTATCAATAAGTAGATTTGTTTCCAAGTTCAACCTTAAACTTGGAATAAATTCAATGCACCTACTCAATGTCATGTTGTAGTTTGTTATTGATACATCAATAAAAACACAAATATCCTTGTTTGTTTCATTTGATTTGAACTTTTGACAGATAAACAAGAATTTGAGTATAGGCCAAGATTATGTGAATACATGTGGGAAGTTATCTGCATCAGCAAGATTTGTTCAAATTGTAAAAATTATAACGTGCTCATGTTTTTGGAAGGACAACACTTTCTTACTAAATATACAAATACAAATCTTATGGAAGTTGTAACTAATGGAAGTAAATATGCGTGCATACTTCACTTATTGACTTTGTGACAGAGTAATTATCTTGCGATAATTGTCTCCTACGTGTTCTACAATCTTCAACTATAAAATATATTAAAATGAATATTTGTTAAATTGCTGAATAATAATGTCATTTTTTACGTAATCTTGCCGCGCTCGTTTATCCGACTCAACGGTAGCAATATATGGCTAGTAATTAAGTCATAGTCGATTTTTACCAGGTTAGATTTCGCGTTGCAAACTATGGATCTTAAATGCGAGGTATACAATTCCTCCCGGGACACGAACCACCGCACTGTCCACCGATAATAATGCCGTAAAGCATTTCAATTTCGTGTGTGTTTCTATGTAAATACCGAATGTACAAATCCTACGCAGTGTTCTGACAAGCTTAAGGGAGTCTGTCCTTTTCTGTCATAGAGAAATAAAAAATGCAGTAAAACCTCAAATTCTAATAAATCTAGACCCAGTGCTTTTCATGTTAAAAGTTTTTGTTTACTCTTTTAACATAAAAGCACTGGGCTTATTAGATAATATTTAGTTCCTTATATATAATAGTCAATAATAATATACACATTAAGATCAGTTAGTAGCGATATGTACCAGATAATGCCAGACCATTTGGGCTGGAAAATTGGCCCATTTTTACATATTTTGGCACGAGCTCCGTTACTGCTTTACACGTGTAAGTGAAGATAACTCGAAGCTCGAACATAGCATAATTCAAATTAATTCGGGTCAAACCCTTTGGCTAAAAAATACAACCTTTTATTATGATAACTGGGAAAGATTTTCGTTTTATGACTAAGTATCACCGAAGGTTAAGGACTAACTTAATGTAGTTGTACGGACATTATAGAGTATAGTCTTAGATACAGTACATAGATTGAATTATATATTAGACCTATATTTGGGCCTCAAATAATAAGAAGTTCAAACCAGCAAAGTGTGTACAGAAAAAGCTTTTAAATGAATATACGTTACGTTGATAAAGATTAGAATGTGTTTTTAAGTTAATTAATTGTTATTTAAGTTAACTAATATATTTCGCATTTTAGAAGCTAATGCATCCACTAGGCACTTATTTATATCATTTACTTTGGTTATTGGATATTATGAGAGAGTCTGCAGAGTGTAAATGTAATGAAACGAATCCTTGTCGCAGTCCGTGACGTTGTGCGCCATTAATAACGTGTTAATAAGTCGCGACCTAATAAAGAGGTTTTGTGTAATATTCATGCGCCTACGGCTTAACATAACGGTTTCGGTTTAATAATAATTTGAAGGTGATAATGAATGTGTTATGTTTCGTTTCGTAAAAACACAAATATTTTTCATACATATATTATGGACTGAATCTGTGGTGCTAACTGTGGGAAAGTCACAGACATTACGAAACTTTTTTGCTTCATATTCGTACTAATATGTGAAAGATAGAAAGAACATAATATATCTCTTAAATAAACACTGCTTTGCCCACTTTAGTAATTAATGTTCCAGATTGATTCAGTAAACCCGAGGGAGCTCAGTCAAACCGCGTTTTCCTTTCAAAAATTAGTTAACATAAAAGTCCCGCAATCCACTATTCGAAACGTTTCGTTTCTAAAGCTTTGTGGAAACCAAACGAGGATGTTTGATCTTCATGATTGCAACACGTGTTTCCACACAAAATTTCTTAATGAATTATCATTTAGTTCAGACAAGAAGCGGTTTTATGCCGTTTGCTCGAAGGCTTTTTAGGTTGATTTATTATTCTCAAATGAAACGTTTGGTTAAGACTAGATGGAATTTGAGAAAAATAGAATGTTTGCAGGGTTTCGTAAAGAAACTTCATTATCAATATTCTAGTTAAAATAATTGTATATCTTATACTTATTCCTATAATTCAATCAAATAGTGAATCTATCTGTATATGTACGTTCTCAAGGAAAAAGTTATATTTGATAATGTAATTTTAATAACTCGAATTATTATTAGTAGGTAAGAAAAACGATTAACAAATGACTATACTGTTCTACTCAACGAATTACAAAGAAAATTCACGTCCTAACGTTTTAGTTAATATTCATATCAAAGTATAAAATGAGTGGATAATTTGTACTCATCCTTAAAAAGGAAAGATACCAATTTCTTGAATAGGAACAGGAACACATCGTCTCGAGCGTAATATGAAGTTGTGCTCAATAACGACGCTTATTCCCAACACGTTTGGAATCGCACGTGACTGTATTATTTCAAATTCAAAGGGTAAAAAGCAGTACCGTATTAAAAAGATGGCCCTAGGAATAGGAGACACGCGCGAGCCATAGCTTTTAGTAATGCGACACACTTAGGCGGGTTACACATGAGGAAGAACAGGTTCAATATTAAGTTATTTTATCGACCATCGATATAATGTCACTGGTCTATTTGTCCCTGAGAATGAGTCTGTACAGGTGATTCGAATGCCAGACGATATAACGACAATGCGTCGTTCAAGACAAAAGGCAGTTTAAAAAAATCTGACTACCCTTCATGTGCTGTTATCAAACAGTAAAAAATTTAACAGTAAAAAACTTAAATATATCAATTTTTTTCACCTTTTATATCTTATTACAGTTAATTTCTAATTAATTTAGTAACATATTATTTTGTTGACAATGTTCGCGGTTACCAAGTTATTTTGCTCAATGAGATCACGGCCTAATTAGTAAATAGTAAGCCTCTTTTACCCTATTCCATTATTTCTTATTAATAATAATAGGATTGCCATCATTATATCGAACATATCAAAGCGCTCACATAATGTATAATATTATACGTGATATGTTCCGTTCTGCGGTCTGTGTGAAACTGAAACGATTTCACAATTTTTGGTTGAGTACTTCTTTTATCTCCTACAAGCGTCAAATTATACAAATAGATTTACTTCTTCCAAAATTTTGCATCGAATAGTATAAACCTAGTACTTTAATCTGATTAGCTATACCACGTGTACGTCGTGTAATCCGATTCGAAATACAATAGCGCAGACATAAATCAATGTCCGTAAAAGATTTATAAGAGTGCAACTTGCTAAAAGTAATTATACAAGTTTCTGTCAGAACTCGTGAAGATAATATCACGCGCAACTCGAAACATTTCTACTTTCATAACTACTTTAGCTTGGAGCATATATTACATACATATTATATTGTACGACAAATTGAATACTGAGGTTAGTTATATGAATCCGCTTATTATTAAAAGGCTGAATTATTTCTTCAAAATCCTTTCAGGATTTATTTAGTCTGAGTAGTTCTTATTCACAAGCCAGAAATCCACGTACGCACGTAGCGCATTGGTTCAGTTTCGGAGGGATGATATTGTCAGCAATAATTAGACGTGTTTTAGGGAGCAATATTGAGGAAGAAAGTAATAAAACGCGCACAAAGGGGCCCAAACAATGGCCCTAATGGTCCCCGGATGTCGCGCAGATACCGGAAGTGACGTCACGATAAGAGTTAGCCGCGGCTCAGCCCGGCTTTGTCCGATATAATTTAAGACTTTGAACGCGGTTTTCTTAACACATACATTTATTGCGAATATTACAAAATTTTAACTCAAATTGTACGAATTAATTAACTAACGGTACCCTCTCAATTATTTTGATAACGTAAACTTTATTATTAACATAGCCTAATACAACGTTTTAGGTGATTACATAGTATTTGCTCCATTACGTATGTATGTATCATTGTAATTGGATATAAAATCACCTATACTTCAATAAACACTTTGAAATATAAAAGGATTCTGCACAAATATTAACCATGAAAGAAAAACGTAAATAAAAGGAAGTTATATTTTTCTATTTAAATGGTTTGTGCAGATATTCAGTTAGCTTAAACAATAGTAATTCGAGGCCAAAATGTATGGCGCCGCAGCTATGTTTTATCATTAACAGTATATCGTGTAACTCATAGTACAGCGTTCATTCCCAAAGGCTTAGCGTGTTCCGACCGCAAGCTTATCTATCTGCAAGTTGCTGATGCAATTTCATTAGGGGCGGGGTTATAAGGAATAAGCGGGGAATCCGTTCTGGGTAAAAAAAAAACTGTTTTCGTTGATATGAAATTTATAATTTTCACTGGTTAATTACGGAACCAGCATAAATATATAGTTTCAAAGAAGTTTACAGTTTTGAGATGGACAGTCAAGCATGGAGAGTGAAATACACCAACATCAACCAATATCTATAATATTGGATATTCGGAAATGTAGAGACTGGAACCGATTAAACTTCACGGCTTTCATCCGTGAACGGTGATCGACGGTTCAGTCTAACAGGCTTCAGAAAACTTATATATGGATAAAAACATAGTACAACCGGAGATCAAAGCCACGTCCCTTTGATTATTAGTCATACATTGCTATCATTAGATAAGACCAACGGATTCGTCGATAACTATTCTTTGGTAGACATATTTATTGATTATCTAAAGATTTAACTAATAATCAATCAGTATCATATTACTGAGTTATTATTAGTTATATTATATTGAAGTATTTTAACTGTTTAACTAGTTAAGTACAGGGCAATCGCTCCGCTTTTGACACGAACCATTCCTAAAGCTCGGATAACAATTTTAACTAAACGCTCCGCAAACTCGCGAAACTGACAGCCGATAGAGATAACATGAATTGCGTTTGAATTTTCAGTATTTTTCTCGTTTCGCTTGTGTAAGGGTTACCGCACACAACGCTTAGAGACATCGTAATTATAGTGTAAACATATTTATAAGTCAGATGCAAACAGCATGAAATATTATATGTTATGTTATTACAACTATAACTTACATCTATCTTATCTTACTAATATATAAAGCTGAAGAGTTTGTTTGTTTGAACGCGCTAATCTCAGGAACTACGAGTTCGAAATAAAAAAATATTTTTGTATTTTTATTTTTCGTGTTGGTTAGACCATTTATCGAGGAAGGCTATAGGGTATAAAACATCGCGCTGTGGCTACTATAGGCACAGCGAAGATACAGCGGGAAATGTGAAACATTTAGGAAAAATTATCCATCAATATGGGTTTCCGAGGCGTACGCTGCTAACACGGTTCAAGATACCCAAAAAATATGTATGAGAGAATGATTTCTTTTCAAATGATCTGAAAAAAAATCCACGACGCTATGTGTCTATCTTTTAAGATTAACTTGCAAGAACGACGAGAAGGGACGCGATCGACGTCGTGGCTAACAGCTTCAGTTTATATAGATGCAAAAATTAATTTAGATACCCAAAATAACGATTCTCACGGACGACATCGCTGGCACAGCTAGTAAATAATAAAATAAAATAAAGGTTTAATGTACTACCGGCCAATAATTCCCAGCTTTCTTTGGCGGAAATTCTTTTTTAATTCGACCTGGGTCTATCAGATACGTATCTACAAGAAGACGGTTTATTTTTATTAGAATAATAATAAGATGTGTTTAAATTTCACAAACAAAGATCTTGTAATTGTTCACTCAAAAGCTGTTTTATTTCCTATGTTTAACATTTTATGTTCAATTTTAATATGAAGGACTACTTATATCTTTTCCATCATTAAAAAGATGTAAAAGAGGCATTACAGTATTATCGACCTTGGCCTTAACTCTACGTCACACGTAAATGTGAACCCTATCCAGTGCTAATGAGGTACTATTTTGTCTGCAGGTGCACGGCTCTTGGGGTCTACCGGCGTTCGTGTGCGACGTGTACATAGCGATGGATGTGACGTCATCGACGTCAAGCATTTTCAATCTTGTCGCCATTTCTGTTGATAGGTACGTAATTAACCACGGTATCGCCAATCTGTTCGAGGGTTTTTGCTTCTGTTAATTGAAGTGTCCCTTAAGTGCCGTATGTGGACAAGTTTCTAGCAAATAAACTGATTAAGCTACATAGAAACATAAATATAATAATATGTACATTCTTAACTTATATTTACTTTAAAAATACATTGATTTTACTACACCCAAACATATTCAGATATAAAATCTTAAATTTCGAAGAATAAGAGTCGTTTAAGATTATTATTTAATCAATCCCTATATATTTCCTCATAAAATATTATCTAATGCAGAAATAGAAATTGAATATTACATACCCCGACCTAAGTGCCCTTATTAATTTAAACGGTGAATTCCCTTTATCGTGTAAGGCAAAGAAATTGCTCTTGCACTTTTTGACGTAGCAAAAGGGAATGATTGTATGTTATTATTTTAAAATTTCGTTAATCGCTTTACACTGAGGAAAGAATGAGATACGATCATAATGAAGTAGTCAGAATTTCTTGAAATTTTAACATTATACCAACCTAGCATTGCGTCAAGTCAAGATGACTAGGGTTCAAAGTTCCGAAGAACACGCCAGTTTTGGTCAGTATTGTCTCCAGGTAAAAAGTAAAAGGGAGACAGAACTGAGTTAGTCGCAAAATCCACCCCAGCTTTAACTATATAATTGAACAGGTATATCGCAGTGACGCAACCCATAAAATACGCGAAGCACAAGAATAACCGACGCGTCTGGTTGACCATCGTGCTCGTGTGGATGATATCTGCAGCCATCGGCGCGCCGATCGTGCTGGGCCTGAACGACACGCCGGACCGCAACTACGACGAGTGCCTCTTCAACAGTCTCAACTACGTGCTGTACTCCTCTCTGGGTTCCTTCTACATCCCTTGTATCATGATGATGTTCCTCTATTATAATATTTTTAAGGTGAGACTATCTTATGACCTCTGCGAAGACGAAAGTTCAAACTTACAAAATAAGCAACGTTGATTTTGGTCTTTTCAAATTACCTTGACAATGTTATGTTATTTAATAGGCATTAAGAAACCGCGCGAAAAAGCAAAGGGCAGCCAAAAAGCCTCCCGTATCTGGTGAACCAACGGGCACCGCAGCCGCCGTAGTCATAGAGAATGTAGCACAGATAAGACAACTGGAGACTGCTATAGATGACAGACCTACCAACACAGGCTCTGGGAGCAATGAGGACGACCACGAAGACAGGTAATAATTCCGTGCATACGTGAAATCCTATTTCCTATTTCCCCCCGTGGAGCATGGGGCAAATACATTTCTATATCCGTTTTACTGATAGTTTTATTTTTAGGCAAGTAGTAGATCAGACTTTTACGCCCTGTCCGACCAGAATCGATTGATTCGAACCCAAGACCTCTCGCGCTTCACGCAATGCTAGGCAATATGTGTAACCTACAGAGGCGGTCCGGGCATGTGAATATTTAAAAGTTTACAATAAACAACGTAAGCGCATTAAAATGTTTTTCGCAGTTTCGACAAGCGGTCTGTGGAATTGGATGTGGATGTAGATGAATGTCACGTGATACCCAATGACAAATCGACCGAGTTCATGCTGGCCACGGTCACGGAGGAGACCAGCAAGTGAGTGTTGTTTCAGGCCACATTAATTATGGTCCCAATAGCTGACTAATTTATTATGTTCTAAATATACGTTCAACCCAGAGCTATTTTGGTTGAAATTTTATTTCAATTCATATTATAATCATTAATAATCGGTATACGTCGGTAATGGTAAGCCAATTCGTTATGTTTGTCACAGGGCTCCGAAAAAGAAAACAAAATGTCAAATAGTTCAAGATCCGAATGGTAACAATGACTCCGGTTACGCTGCCTCCAATTTAGAAGACACGATAAGGGAACATATCTCGCCTCCTGCGTCACCATCTATAAGAGACGCTACAGTATTGAAAAATCTGTCGTGTGAAAGATGGAAGAAAAATGGGAAGAGAGTTGAAGCAGATAACAGGTATTGCGAAAATAAGATACAAGTGTATTTGATTTAAAAATCGATAATAAATTAAAAAATGTTGAATTTATTTTCAATTTTTAAATTATGTAGTGCCTTCATGTAACACAATAACATGTAAAAAAATAATAATAAGTTTAGTTTTCAAGTTTATTTCATTGAAATATTTTAGTTGTTTAAAATTATTATAATGCTATACAGGGAAATTGTTTGTAATTTTTGGTTATATGAAACAACTCGTATTCATGTATAAAAAAAACTTTTTTAATATCATGAATAACCGTACTTCTCTCAGTGCGTTTAATTTGTTATTTCTTAATACTAAAGATTTAGGTTTACCTTCTCTCATGCACACTGAACGTAAAATAAAAAAGGAAATATTAAGTAATAACGTAGATATACTAATATATACAAAGTAAGATCAAAATGTTGACGCAGTTTCTTTCATCATTGTATTACAGAAATGCATCAATTGCCTTCCGTTCTGAGGACGACCTAGCCTCCAGCCATTACGACCTTCGTGATGGCACCAACAGTAAAAAGGAGAGAAAGGCTAGTTCAACCGCTAGATTCACTATTTACAAGGCGAATAAAGCGAGCAAGAAGAAGCGAGAGAAATCGTCAGCAAAGAAGGAAAGAAAAGCTACCAAAACCTTGGCTATTGTGTTAGGTAGGAATTATTATTAGTCCATAAAACGTATTGTAACGATAATCAGATCAGTGACACCGATACTGGATACATCGAGCACACTGACATTTTTTGCTACAGAGAGGACAAATACTGGTACTATTTTAACTCTTATCGCTAAACCGCGAGAGAAGAAGCGATGTAAATAACTTCCCCGAACACAATGTTTGAGCATTGTTGCTAATCCAAACTTAGAAGTTAGATCGAAATATCGTTGGACAATTTTTTCTACAAGTTCGTACACGTTGGAAACTCCTAAGTGGTTCACCTATTTCAAAAGGGAACTTGTTAAAACTTGTTTCAAGTTGCAAAGTATTTGGAGGAACAAAATTACTTATATCGAATCTAAGAAGTTCACACCTTTTCGCAATAGTACAAGAGTCCGAGAGGATATCAGAGGATTACTTTAGCGCGGCAGCGAAACATAAGGCATCTAGCGTCCTGATTAAAACTTCCAGCAATTATTCGCTTTTGATATAATGATGTCTGATTAGGATGCCAGTCAAATAAGTAAAGACAATTGTTTATCTGACACGGACGTACTCCTTTCGACGTCACTCGAGTAAACCCGCTTTTGTGCCTTGGGCTCTCCTACTACAAATAATTCGAGTGTTCCGAACTGTGATATCTAAGCATCTCGTGAACTCAGCAAAATCTTGAAAATGAACAGGCAATTTAATGACCTAAAAGCTTCTAACTTTATTCTTCATTAATATAAATTACAATTTTCCCTTATTATACACACCTTTATTAATTTGGTTCGCGAAACTTTGTTGTTTCCATTTTGTTTATACGTTTTTGATTGACATTTGGGTTTAACTACAAAATCTAAAATGGATCGGATATTCAATAGAAAACAGTATAGTTAATTGAATCACATTTTATCTGTTATAGTATAGTAAAGTTAACTTTGAGTAACCAACATTGCAATGTAATTTCAATAAAGCTAGGTAAATACTGTCAATAGTTTTCGCGAAACACTTTAACTTTAATCAGAAATTTCTTGCTACAGGTGTCTTCCTCTTCTGCTGGACTCCGTTCTTCACGTGCAATGTTTTGGACGCTATCTGCGCAAAATTCGGGCTCCAATTCTCGCCCGGAGTGACCGTCTTCATCCTCAACACTTGGCTCGGCTACATAAACTCATTCCTAAATCCAGTAATCTATACCATCTTCAATCCGGAGTTCAGGAAAGCCTTCCGCAAGATCCTCAAATGCAGCACCTAGCGCTTGGACTACGTGGTCGTGTTCACCCAATAGATTGACGCAACTGTACATAATCTTACAACGAAATATTGGGAAATATGCGACCAGATCTGTTTTAATATTTAGAAGTGTCGTGGTGTAACGTTGCTCTCACTAGCTGTATGGACCTCCTCCCCATGTCGAACAAACTCGAATAATAACTCTTCTATGAAACGCACGATTTTTGTTTGTTAGTTTTGAACCCGCTTTTCAAATCTGGTATTCTTAATTTATATTACGATTTACGACTAGTGAGAGATAACGATAAAGTGCTTTAACTGTGTACGCATAATAAACAGTATTCTTAATTATAACTAGTTTTTAATAAATGAAAATGAATTCCTAGTGAAAAACGCCAAAGCTAATAATTTAAGCTTTTATTTAGTTACGGTTGTGATTATTTTGTACAGTTTTAAATGACTTTTAATTCTATAAATATATAAATTAATATTGACCATAAAACTGTAGGTAAGTAAACATTAAAAATATTGGTTCGTTAAAAATTATATTTACTATTTTTGTTAAGGATTAAATTTATTATGATCTGTTGTATTAGTAATGACCATTTTGTTTAACGTGCATTTAAATGTAGCAATACAGTAAGGGGATCGATTACCATAACAAAATCCTATAGTAATTATAAGCTATATCCAATATCGGATCTGTAGACTAATACTTCCTATAAAGGACTTACAAGATTATGCAGCAAAGTAGTTAGAATATAAATTAAATTTCCTCTCGACAAATGTGTTTACATGGTAAAACTAATATTCGCGGTTCTATGAAATACATTTCCACGTTCTTTTAAACAAAGTTATTTGAATTAGTAATAAAAGATAGTTGTAATATGTATTTAAAAAGATTGTTTATGAAGTCAATGCACAGCGTGATTTGATATTTGTAAATAGGTAAAAATACTTTGATCATATCAATAACTGTAAATATCTGTCTTATATATTATTATTGTTAAACATATAGCAAATACGACATCGCTCAGCATAGTCTCTTGTTAATTCTAAACTTGATGGATCATTATAATATTACGAAATATTAAGTGGTGGTTTTTAATTCTTACTTATTATATAATATTTTAATTATTCTTTGGCATTTACTGTGGATGACTACAAAGTAATGCTTCGTTTTGTTATTGCAATATTTATCAGTTCGTAATATGAAGATTTTTAGAGAATTCTCTGTGTACTTTATTATTATCGAAACGTTAGTTTAACAAGAGTTCACTACGACAATATATCTAGTACATACAGTTGCTTTTGAAAACGATTTGAACTCGAGTTATAATGAAAAATGTATGTCTATTAAGTACCCGAATAAGGGAAAGATAGAACCATTTGCCAGAGAGGCCTTAGGTGAGTTAACAATTACGCACAAGGACGAAATTCGAAAAACACAAAGTGGATTGACATACAAAATAGCAAAATTACAGGTCAATTCCATGAATTTGATTCTCTTTGAAATTTATTGTCATTTTGTAATTGTTAACATGGCTAAAGGCCTAAATTATAAGATTCCGGCCAGCAATAAAAGTCGATTGGTGTTATTATATCGGTCGTGTTGTTCCTATATTTTTCAAAATAAGCCCAGCTTATTTTACTAGTCCCACAACAAGGAAATGAAATATGTATTTTGTGTCGTAGAATAGTAAAATTTTCAAAGAGTAAGTATATATATGTATGAAGTTTTTTTTGAACATTGTAATCGAAGTTGATCTCAATTTTAATTTTGCTCAAATAGAACCAAAGTTTGCTCACGACGTATTGCTCATATTCGATTCTTACCTTTACAATTGTTTTTGTATATAATATCATAAGTAGATACTAATTTCTTATTCCGGAAAATGACAAATGCATACAGACTTACAGTAGGTACTAATTTTTATTAGTTAATATAAAAGAAAGTATAGAGTTAATAAAAAAAATATGATTGTCATGAGACATCAAAAGAAAGAGGTTAAAGGTACAACACGACTACTTTTATCAAATCAAAGACGAACAATATCACTTTACGTAGTCAATGTACCTACATTGTACAATCGTATTACTAATATTAGATGTATCTCATTGTTATATAAAAGCTGTGTTTGTAAGCTCAACTTTTCTTTCATAGAGTATAAACATAGATTATTTTGCAATAATACTTGGTAGGATTTAACGAAAACTATATAAAGTGACGACTATGTGTTAGATGCGCCAAAATATGTTACTATGTATTAGTGTAAATAAAAAGATGTAACTTAAGACTTCCTTCATTATAACAAGCTAATATTAGCAACAAAAACTTTAATAACTTATTTTACTGCTGAATAAAAGTATTGACTTGTGATGTACGTTTGCATTCTAAGGCGTCATGTAAATTACTTAAAATAAGAGATGTCAGTTTAAATCTATCTACTTCTAATATACAAGTTATATAAATTCCTGGAATTGTAAACGAAGGTATTATCAATTAGTATCTATTGTTGTACAGGTAGTGTTTGAACTTTCTATGCAAATTTGTGATGATTTCAAATATAATAATCTGTTTTTATGACGGTCATTTTATTTTTCGGCGCTTGATATATAATAGAAAAGTATCCACTTTTTTCACTATAATACCCATAAAATAAAATCGAACAAGCTTCGACCTGAAACATTGGCAATGGACTGCGAAGCAAATAAACAAAACCTTGAGAAATGATTAGTTATTACACAACCAAACAAAAGGTAAATATCAAAAGGCTAACATGAGATAATATTTAACGAACTTTCAACACGGCACTCCCGAAACAAAAGTACTATCGCGAACAAAATCCAACTAGTGTTCTCCACAAAAGGTGGGTACCTCCTGAATTAAATACGACCTCTGTTTATGTCGTGTGCAAACTCTGTTTCCACCGCAGAATACTGAACAGACCAGAAGGAGTTTTCGACCATATATGAGAATACATACATACAATAAATAGTTTAATTAAAATATACAATTGTAGATATTTTTTGCGGCTTTATTTGCATGACAACGGACTCATTTATTATCCACACCATTTTGTATAAATCATGACAGCCCTACTTTGAGGACCTTGGCGGTTTCTGTTATGTTCCGTACTCTGTGCTTTTCACACAACTCTTCGGTTCTCAAACACGGATTTGCCTTGAATATTATATACTGCGAAAATGAAATTCCATTAGGGCTCCTTTTGCTAAATGTGGTGTAAATCTAAGATGTGTCTTGAGAATAGATACTAAGAAATAAAGTTACAATAATATTTATCCGTATCCAAGTAAACAAAAGTTTATACACAATACTTTTTATTACAGAATACTTTTTGATACAGGGACTGTCTTAATTAATTTGATTGTAAACTACGCATATGGTTAATTGATCGCTATAGATATGGGCACTATAATACCCGAGATAGGTTATAAGCTAATGGTAACATATATTTGCTTAAAATAAGTTGGTAGTGTTATATTCGCGGTTGTCATGAAAATCACTTTGTACACTTTTGAAAATAATTAATAATAAAAGACTATGAATATGAGCGAAGAAGGACTAAGAGGTCAAGATATACGTATATTATAGTACATATAAATAATATCAGCTGCCAAGGACGGGTATGCTTTTGAAATAGCTTCTTTTCTTAGTGTCATAAAGCGGAAGACAGCTTCCAAGTTTTGACCTTAAACATTGGCGCAAGTTACAGACAGACTCTTTTGGCCAGTTCGTTGGTTTAATGCTAGCAATGCTTGGCGAATAATTAATAGGGGTCTTAGGTTTAATTCCCACCACGTCCCACCATTTTCTAAACAATTCCTTTTTTTTAATAAATTTGACTTTGAAATTCTGGACACTAAGTGAGTGGTATAAGTATCTTAATTCTGTCGGGATTACGAACCGATATACACTGATTAAAAAGCCGTCAAGTATAATCGCGCTTTTGTTTCAGTCTGCGAACTTTTGTTTCTGTCGCGACCACATAACATCTTGTTTAGATGTCATGTGCTCGGGGTATTTCACCTTTGTTTGTTTGTTTGAACGCGCTTATCTCAGGAAATAATTGTTCAAATTGATTTGGTATTCAATGGACCATTTATCGAAGAAGGTTAGGCTACAAAACGTCAAGTTGCAAACAATAGGAGCCAAGAAACAGTGGGAAATGTGGAAGAACATTAATCTTTGAGAATGGACACGCAACGGATATTTTTTTTAAAATGTCGTACGGCAAAAGAAGTTTTAACAGGTCCGCTAAGTTTTAATACGTTTACTTTACATATTTCTAAGATAGTTTAAAATGTAGCTTTGTAATTCGCAATTATTGAAACCTTTTATTTTTAAGTTGCTACTTTCTTTAATCGCTTAAGCCCTTCACTCGTACCCCAGCCCTCGGATAATAGACGGTTGTCTCGAAGTCCGAAGTCAATTTCAGGCATATTGTCCGAGGAGAAAAGATTCATCTTGAGTTAATGTACTTCATAATATTACGTCTTCGCGGAGCCATTGTGTTGGGATTTCAAGAATTAGGGCCATTCGTACATTGGACAGTTCTAGATTTAAGTTTTCTATTCCTTTTACCTTTTCGATAAGAATTATTTCTTTTGTCACTTCGAACTGGATTACTGAGATGATAGGATCGCTGTATTGATGCACACAGAAAAAAGCCAATACCATTTAAATAAATCCTATGTTGAACTTTACCTTTTTAATAAATATATTTGTCTGTTATTTGGTTAATGCGGCTTATATTAATTTAATCATCTGTTAGAAAGAACAATGTTTTACCAAAAATATTACATAATTACCTTTAGAGCAGATAAAGCGAAGAGTTATTTTTAAGATAGAGAAATATTATTTATATCAATAAAGTTGTGAATTTTTATCACAATTCAGTGGAAAAATATTTGAAAAAGCTCAAGGAAAAGGAAGAAAATACATTTGCAGTTGGCAAGTGCGGAGGGAGCGTTTGTGTCGAGTCGACTTCAATGAACTCT